TAAGTAACTGACCATTAATATTTTCATATTCATAACAAGAATGTACCCATAAAGGACCAAATTTTATAACATCATCAGGTAGGTGCAGTAATTGGTGAATATTAATTGTACAAAATCTTAAATCATACAATGTTGGAAATTCTCTAACAAATTTATGTAAGAGATCACGAGCAACTTCAATTCTATGAAATGATAGTAAATTACTATTTAAAATCGATAAAGCATTAACTAACAATAAATAGTGTTCAAAATAGTTGTCCTCCATAACTCCATGAAAAACTGGTAACGAGTAGTAAAAAAACCATAACTTCAATTCTGAGGCTTTCCAGTGAACTAAATCAAGTACTGAGCGTGGCATTCGATGTACAAATTTAGGTGGTTTGATTTGACATAATTTACTATTAATAACATCAATGGCATTAATTAAAGAAAACTTATATGTTCTATATTTAGTGTCAAACAATAAAGTCAATAATGTTTTTACTGCACCACCATCTACCCCGTGCATCCGGTCTATGGCCATACCTTTAATAAAATCAGGCATTAAACGAGAAAGAATTGTGGGACCTTTAAAGCCCATTTTTGGTTCATCTATTGTTGCAGTGTTACCGTACTGCTCACATTTTTCTAACGTCCTTAGGTCAAATTCGTTTGTGTAAGGAAAAACGTGCACATTACCTCCTGTTTCCGGTACCTGATACGTTTCACCCTTATTAAAACAAACAGGACAACCATAACTGCCATTGTATTGAATGAAATTTAAACAGCAAGCCTTTGCTGGTAAATCACATGTGCCTGTTATTAATATTCCTTTAACATTTATAGTAGCATTTTGATTTGGTATATGAATTTGAATTCCACGTGAAAGTTTTTGAAATTGAGAGTAAAACGATTGAAAAAATAAATTCATGTTCGGCTTTCGATCACCGTACCACAACCCAGCAAGTAATATATTTTCTCTTAATTTTCTTTCGTTAGCAGGTAATTCATTAACAGTCAAGTACACTGGCCACGCACTTATTTTCGAAGATTTGAAAACTGGTATTCCATCTGTATACCAACTTAATGAAATATTTCTTCTATCATTAAGAAATTTATTTTCTAGCCATTCCTTATACACAGAACCATCATAAATATCAGCTAAAAAATTTGGTTGAAATGGTCTTTGAAACCGATGTTGCAGTTTATTGTAGAAATTTTCTCTTTGAAACATTTCTTTTAACTGTTCCAGGAAAGGCAACTGAATGAAATATGAATTTTTTTTTGCGGACACGATGGACAATAAGTAACTGAATTTTTTAAATGCCTAGTACACGTAGAGCAGTAGTAAATTTTTTTTAATGAACTTTTTTTCTTGTCAAGTGAGAAATATTTTTGAAATTTGTACAAACTGTTTTTTTTTAAATTTTCATTTAGACAATGAAAGTTGATAACGGTAATAATATCAGCAAGACAAGATAAAGGAAGATTATGATGCAATAAGAGAGCTAATATTAATAACATACTTTCGGCAACTGTTAATGGAGCTCTCCAATATAAAGGCTCATCATTATTAATACGTTCATCAAATAATTCATCTCCGTCTTCATTTTCATCTTCATCTGGAGCTTCATCTGAATTGGAATCATATTCTTCAAAAAACAATGCGTCTTCTAAACCATCTTTATAATTTAAATTATTTGCTTCGATATTATTTTGGTCTCTCTCTTCCAAGTTTATTCTGAAAACCAAAAAAGTAACAAAAATATTAAATGCACAAATAAAAAATGTAATTAAAAGTAAATAATTGAAATAGTGAAAAAATTATCAATTAATACTTATTTGATTAAAAAATTATTATTATTATTAATAATATTATTATTATTATAATTATTATTATTATTATTATTATGAGTTAATAAAAAAAATTTCATTATTGCATTTAACAATAATAATACTTACTGTCGATTAGCCGCAATATCCTCTTGCCTTTGATTCTCATGATCATTATTAATCTCAATCTCATTGTTCCTATTTTAATAAAAATAAAATTAGCAATTTTAAAAATAATTAAATTTAAAAATTTTCTAATTTAAACTTTTGTTGAAAACACTAAAATAATGTAATTTTGAAGAAATTACAAATAATTGTAGCAATTCAATTATTAAAAAAAAATCAAATTCTACTTATAAAATTCAACTATGTTCGAAATTTGAAAAAAATTATCGTAAAAATCCCAATTATCTTTATAAATAACAAAATTCTTCTCCAAAGTTCAATTACTTTCATAAGTGTTAAAAAAATTCTTGTCCTAATTTCAATATTATTTTCAAAAATTTTTCTAATTTCAATGATTTTCAATTAGCTATAATAAAATTTGAATGTTCGTTCTTTCGCACAACTTCAGAATGAGAGGGACAGAAAAATTGAATGAATGAAAGAACATTCAAATTATAGTTATGAACAAACATTAATCCCATCTTATGATAAAACATTAATCCCGATTGACATAACATCATTATCTTATTAGACAGTACTAATCACATTTGTACTTACATTACATTTGCTGGAACATCCATTTCGGCATTTATTTCCTGAAAATTATGCTCTTCTTCTCTTCGATTTTCAACATTGTTAGTGAAGGCACTTAGTTTTTGTCTAATGTCCTGCAGTTGTCTATGTCTGTGGCGCTTACCAAGTCCACTAAATGCTTTTCTTGACATTTTTTAATTTTTTTTTAAATTTACACACATTTAATTTTTGTTAAATATATTTTTCACAAATTATTGTCAGAGAGTCATGAGACCACCTCTGAAACCGTTTAAAAATGGTACTGAAGCCTCGAATAAAAAAAACAGTCTACCTGGTCCTTTCGTTTTCAGTTTCTTACTGATATTAGAAAATTTTCTTTTTTGAATCATGCGCAAATCCTTTTTCTACTCATCCTGCAACACATGTTTTTACACAGCCTCTTGAAGCGAATCGCCTGTACCCCAAGTCAGTTTGAAGCTAGCTCTAGCTTTTTGAGTTTCGGAGTGAAAGTGCAGTGACAGTGACTGGAAAATAATGGCTCCACGAAAAAAGTCCTTCGCTTTAATTTTGTGGCTTGGTACAGGAATGAAAGATGTAATTAATTTAACTTCTGTACCGAAAGGACAACGAAGTGTAGGTGATATTGCGGATATCAAGTGGTCTGCATTCAGGAAAGGAGAGAAGGACACTTACCATAGAGCAAAAGTACTTGCTATAGACGGTAATTATTTAAGAGTTATAAATTTATAAATCTGTAGATTTAAAAAAAAAATTTAATTATGTGAAATTTAAAAAACTTATTTAAATGTTGTTTTCTTTTTTGAATCATATTACATTATATTATTATATATTGTAATGCAAAATAAATAAATTTTCTATTTCTTGATCACAGTTGTTTAACAATTTTCCAATTTAGTTTAGAAGTAAAGAACAAAAATAAAAAAATAAATAAATAATAAAAATAATTTTTAAATAAAATTAAATAAAAAAAATAAAATAATAATAATGAAATAAAATCAATTTTCCAATTTAGTTTAAAAGTAAAGAACAGAAATAAAAAATAAGTAAATAATAAAAATAATTTTTAAATGAAATTAAATAAAATTAATAAAATAAAATAATAATAATGAAATAAAATCAATTTTCCAATTTAGTTTAGAAGTAAAGAACAGAAATAAAAAATAAGTAAATAATAAAAATAATTTTTAAATAAATTTAAATAAAATTAATAAAATAAAATAATTATAATGAAATAAAATCAATTTTCCAATTTAGTTTAGAATTAAAGAACAAAAATAAAAAATAAATAAATAATAAAAATAATTTTTAAATAAAATTACATACAATTAATAAAATAAAAATAAATAATAATGAAATAAAATCGATTTTCTGATTTAGTTTAGAAGTAAAGAACAAAAATAAATAAATAATAAAAATAATTTTTAAATAAAATTAAATAAAATTAATAAAATAATAATGATGGGGTGATCCTAATAATGAAATGAAATTAATAAATTAATAAAATTTTTAAATAAAATTAAAAAACGTTAAATATTGTATGAATTATTATTCAATCTTTAAATAATGAAATAAGTTGTTTAAAAATAATAAATTGAATACAATTTTTGTATTAGAACGCAAAATATTTAGAACACATGGCGAAAAGTTTTTTTTCCTTTTCAACGTTATTGTTACTCATAGGACCACATCCTTCAGAATCTCAGATTTCTTTTTTATGACGGTTCCACAGTATATTTTGTTCTATTATTCGAAATTTTCCTTGCTTTTAAAATGCCTAAATAAAATCCACAAACATATTTCTTTTATTTTGTCACGTCTTTTTGAAATAAACATTTTTCAAAAACTGAATTATTCTCAGAATTATTTTCTTATGTAGAATTTATACAAATTTATAACTTTTAAAATTTAACAAATGAAATTAGGCTTTAATTAATCAAAAATTAATCTGCAGTTTTAAAATTATTTGGTGATTAACTTATTAATTTAATTTAATACATTAAAAAATTACATTTTTTAAACAATATTTTTTAAAATGTTATAATAAAGTTTTCTCGGCTAAAACGAGTTATGCGAATTATGTAAACAATTTGTATGAATTTTCACATAGCATGATTTTGTTTTCATTAATACTTTCTTTTTCGCTATTCGGAACAGATGTTTTTTACATTTTAGTTTTGGGTTTTTCCCAAGTATCAGAAGACCCTTTACTTTCCTAATTGCTTTATTATATACGGATTAGAAGCTGAAGGACTGTGGGTATACTTTTCTATTCAATTTCAAAGGTATTTTTCTCACTTCTTTAACAAGGAAAAGAGAAGGGTAAATGTATCAATTGTCGAGGGTCTACCTATTTTTGGAGTAAACAAATTCTGTTTTTGACTTAAACAGGGAATTAAAATTTAAATGCAAAAAATGATTCCTCGGTAATTTCTTGACGTTATTTTATGTCTAGTTTAATTAATAATTTTGTTACTTTAGAGGACAGAAATAAATTGGACAAGATGACTGTAACAACATCAGGAGAAATTGTGGAACCTTCAAATAAAATATTTTCACAGAAAGTTATGGAAGATAAGAAACTTCATAACAAGAATAAGTTATTGACGAATGAAATAATTAAATCTAATAAAAGGCATTTGGATTCTCAAATCGTGGCTCAAAAGCCAATAATTTCAGTTGCCAGCGGATGGAACAATTTACAAAATCTTGAGAAAGGTGGTGATGTAATCATATTTATTTTATAATTACCACTTAATTTTACCATTTTATTAATTTATCTATTTAATTGCAGGTGCTGAAGAATCCAACCAAATGTATGTAGATTCAGATTGCAATGTTGAGAAACCAATGTCATATTCTGCTAATGAATTTAAAAGAGCAAAAAATGTAGAGCTAGGTAAGAACTATATTCTTATTCTCATTGTAATTTTGAAAATAACAAGTTTAATCAAGTTGAAATCCACAACGTCTCAAATAAGTTTACTAATTTATCTATTTAATTGTAGATACGCAAGAAGCAGACAAAAGATATGTTGATTTGGATTACATTTCTCAGAGACCAATGTCACATTCTGTTAATGAATTTAAAAAATCGCAAAATGTGGAGCTAGGTGAGAACCAACTATTCTATTTTCATTACAAATTTAAATATAACAAGTGTAAATTTTTAATTTGACATTTTTATAGTTACTTTCAAATCAGTTTACTGTAATTATTTATATATTTAACTGCAGATACTCAGGAATTTTTAAGAAATTCTCAACATTCAGACAATAATGGTGCCATAACAGCTAACAATAATCATTTTTCGTCATACATCTCAAAGCAAAATTCTCCACGAGCATTGAGTAATTTTATAAATTCACAAAATAATAACTCATCACAGTTTAACAGAAATGTTGAGGATAATCGTGCAGCAAAAAATGTGCATTTACAGTTAGTATTTTCAATAATTTCTGCTCTAACATTTTTCATTATCATTTTTAAAAGTTTATTATTATTAGCACTTATATTATTTTATGTAATTATTTTATTTATTATATATGATCGAAATAATACAATATGTCATATATATTATTGTTGTGTATTTATTTATTTCTTTATAGATTTGGAAATAAAAACACCTGCCTCAATAGTGCAGAAAAGTATTCTTTCGATGCTGATGTTTATCAAGAACGAGACGAAGAAACTTATATGAGAAGAAATGACAATAATTGGAGACAATCCAACAATTATCAAGGGGCTTTCAACAGTGGAAATTCGCAAACTAGTAGCACCTTGTTGAGTTATCGTCAATCTTCTAATATTACTAACCATCAAGGACTACTTAATAAAGAAACAAATGGAAAATCCTTCGAAGTATATGATATGCAAGGGAATGGCGATCCGAGAACGGACAGTATGAACTTTCGCGATACTTATCCGCCATTATCGACAAAAAATTATAACTCTACCTCAACATACGATAATGAGATGGAAACTCAAGTTTCTGCTGATGAAGATTCATCTGATTCCTCTTCAGATGATGAAAACGAGTGTTCAGAAGAAATCGTCAAAAAAATGGCTGTTTTATTTCCAATGAAAAGTAAAATTTAAAGTCTTTAGTTTTACAATTTCTTTAATATTATCTGTTTTACTGTTTAAATTCATAAGTAATCTGTAATTTTTCAGTCACAAAAAAACATGTTGAGATTTCCAAGCTGTTCATGGGTGCAATAGAGTATGCTTTTGAGCTAAGAACCAAATCAAAGTGCAATTTAAAAAATAACTTTCAGGTAATTTCAGCAAATTGTGAACCTTATAATTTTTGCAAAGCGTTTTTTTTTAAATTAAAGCATATTTTTCTTCTTTTTCAGATCCCAATTGAGTATTTTCAACCTGGAGATGACAGGGTTAGTTAAAAATTAAAATTCTTGCAATTTTAAAAAATTCTGTTCAATTCTAAATTTACTTATAAATTTAAATCATATATTTTTCAGGAGGAAGTATCGCCTTCTTGTGGTTTTTATTTAAGAAAAGAAGTTTTTAATTATATAAAACTAAGTGCTCTAGAATCCAACAAATACAATTCGAAAATCATTGTCAAAAAAACATTAATCGAAGTTTATGGAGACAGTTTAAAAAACTACTCTGCGACTGGTGTACGTAGCAGTAGACCAGGGATAGATTGGAGAATATTTAAAAGTTTATATGGTATGTCATTTTCTAATATACATTCCTACATAAAATTGTTTCTAGATTTTCAAAATTATATTAAAAATTTAATTATGTATTCTAATAATTTTTTTCTTCAAACGTTTTAGAATTGATAAACAAAATCGGCGATGTACCAGTATCAATGAAAGCATTAAAAGCTTTGATAAATAAAAACATATCTAATAAAAGGAAACATAAAGTCGGAATAAAAAAAAACTCACTGCCAATTAGAAAAAAACAATTTAACAAGAAAAGCAACAATTTCCAAGATGCCGATAAAAATAAAAAGGATGAACAATTCCTATCGAATCAACAATTTATTCCTAACGGACTACCAGCTGCTGGTCCGCTTTCAGAATCATTTATATCTCATGACGACGATTTAACTGCGAAATCTCCTAAACGTTACATGCAATTATAGTTTAATAATATTACTCAAGCAAAAATTTTTGGCAAATGCCAGCATTTACAACAAGCGCAGCATTGCACCAGTACTGGCTGGCTGACAGTTGACTCACCCATACAGGTTCAATACTGAAAATTGAATATTTGAATAATTGAGTACTGAAATTGTATATGTGAGCCAATTGTTGGCTAGCCAGTATTGTCTGGTCAGTACAGAAAAGCGCTATAATTTCGGTCAAATGCCAGTGCTGGTTCAACCATGGCGACCAGTATTTTGCCAGTTATACATTTTTGCTTGGGTAATTGATATTCTTATTATACTCTTATTTTATATTTTTTACAGTTTATATAATAAATATATATAATTTTAAAAAAACAATATATATGGCATTTATTTATATTTCTAATGTTAACCATATCATATAATTAAAAAAAAGAGTTGTTCGTGTTGAATTAATAATTCTATTTTTTTGTTATGATTACTTTTTTGTTGTTCTGACAGTTAGTTTGGTTGTAAAATTAAGATTAAATAAAATTTTGTGTTTATTCTAACTGTCAGAACAACAAAAAATTTAATAAAACAAATAGGATTGTTTTGTTCAATATTAACAGTACTTTTTTTTATTGTTTGCGCAAGCGCGAATTCTAAATGCTGTAGTTGGTAGTAGTTAGTATGCTCTAAAGAGGTCTTAAATTAAGACCTCCTTAACGCCTAATAGATAGCGAAAACGGTCTTATGTAGACCCTATACGATCTTAAATCGATTCTATCTCAATGTAAGTAAAACCTCTTTAGGTTCTTATAGGTTCTGCATGAAGCAGGTCTTAACGGACTCTGAGTCGACTCTAAATTTCGACTCGGGCTCCCTCCTTTAAATGGACCTAATCTTTATCCTTCCAAAAATTTGAATTTACTTTCCTCGCGTCTATTTCTTTTTTTCTATTTTAATTACCATTTTATGTTTATTTTCTTTTAATTTCTTTTTATTGTTGCGTGAATATAATTGTAGAACAGTAAATTTAAATGTTGCTAAAGATTGATTTTTTCGATATGGACGAAAACAGAAGTTTTTTGATCGTGAAGATAGGAGATGAAACTAGACGATTTTTTTTTGTTCTCTTTAACGAAAGTATGCATCTTGATTTGAAAAACAGGATTTTCGAGTTTTGTATTTGGTTGTGTTTTACAGTAATTCAGGATATTTTAAGGCGGCAAGTTCTGAGTAAATTTGACAGTTTGACTTTGGCATTTTAACGATCAGCATCTCTAGAGCGGAGGAAATTCTTCAAGGTGACATTTTTGGAGCTGCCGGTAATGATGGTCAGTTCTTGCAAATAGATAGTGTAGGCCCTCTGGGACTTCTTAATTGGACCCCATTTTATATAGTTGACTAGTATCGGTAGCAGCAGCAGAGTGAATCGGTGTCGAGGAATCCTCTTCTTTCTTCACCACCACCTTTCTTATTCTTGAGATCAATCTCACTGCAACTGTTGTCCTATATTTTATGTAATTAGACTCGTTTATTGTGAATCACTTTTATTATACTTTTTTATAGATTAACTTTTAAATTTCAAGTTAAAAGTTTTACGTTTAATATTATTTTATTCACAGTTTTCTTTAAAGTATAACATTGATACAAGAGTGCGGATCAAAAATTGATGATAAACATTTGAATCAATTTTTGATTTGATCCACATTTTTGGTATCAATTAGTTGAAGCTTGATACTTTTAGGTTAATAGTGTTTATTTATCTGTTTATTAAATCATATGGGCAAAGTCCATTTGTACTTTGTACTAAAGATACATCAGATGATATATTATATATGGTTCGTTTCGTATTTTATTAATCATATATTCTGATATTATATTATTGTACTCTCTACATTTAAATCCGTAGAATTTTTACTGATTCAATCGGTACATTCAGTTTTAACTAATGATTCAGCTACTTCTTGCAATTTACTAATCCAATCAGCGAATATACTGGTAGCAGAATATATTTATACAACTGATTGAATCAGATACCTTTATTTTATTAATTAAATCAGTACATTTCTATACCAATTATCAGAAACTCAATTCTGGCTAATATATTAGCGATTACTTTAATTCTTCTGATAATTAGTCAGATTTTACTAATTTAAATATATAGTTTTGTGATTTTATCTTACAAAGTTGTCACAGGTCAGGAAAAGTAGGTAAATCAGAAAAAAATTGTTCATTCAGTGAAAAATGATAGAGATTTCAGTAATTTTTAATTGATTTTTAGTGAAATTTCACTGATTAAATATTAAAATCGTGAGAATAGAATCAATGAAAATGAGTCAAATTTACTGATTTAGTTTGAAAGATTTTTTTTCAAACACTTTTTAATGACAATTTTTTAAAAATGCTTTAATTTTTTCCCATTTCTATAAAAAATTGAATTTATTTTAAATAAATAAATTCTTGAGTAATTTTTCTAAAGTTATTAATTATAATAAACTTGAAAAAATTGTAATTAAAAACAGTATCAATTTTTAAAAATAATAGAATTTCAGAAGGTTTTTAAATTTAAACAAAATTTTTTCAAAAATTTCAAAATTGATGAGAAGAAATGAATAACAGTGGAATATTTATTTTTAATAATATTTAAGTTCTAAGTGATTTTATTTAAAATTATAAAAAGTTAGGCTTTTGAGTAATTTTAATTTAATTTTTAAATATACTTGAATTTTCAATAAAATTTGGATTAAAGAATTATCAAATTACTCGAAATTTTGTGAAATCGAATTAAAAATTAATAAATTTAGGGGGGGTTTTAAATTAAAATTTTTCAAAAATTCCAATTAATGATAAAGCAATATTTATTTTTCAAAAATTATTTAAGTTTTAAATAATTTTATTTAAAATTATAAAAAATTAGGTTTATAAGTAATTGTAGTTCAATTTTTGAGAGATATTTGGACTTTTATAGGCATTTTATTAAAAAATTACAAAATTAATTGAATTATTGTGAAATTGAAAAGAAATTAATTAAATTTCTTATAAAATTTCTTCAGAAATTTAATAAAATCGATTTTCAGAAAATTCGAATTGAATAATTCGTTAATATTTGAATTTATTTATTTAAAAAAATCTTAAAGTTTTTAATAATTCTGTTTAAAGTTTTTAAAAACTTAGGTTTCTGAGTAATTTTAATTAAATTTTTTAGAGATACATGAATTTTTAAAAATATTTTATTAAAGAAATATCCAATTAAATTTTTTGGAACTTGAATTGAAAATTATTTAATTTATTAAAAATTTTCATTAGAAATTTAAAAAAATTGACTTTAAGAAATTTCAATTTAATAATTGCTAAATAATTGAATTTTATAAAGAGTAAGCAATAAATGGTCCAAATTGAATTGAAAATAATTGAATTTCGAATGAGCTGCTATTAATTATGTTATTAATTATAGTTAATTTTAAAAAATTTAAATTTTATTGTTTTAAATTGAAGTATAGCAAATTTTGTTATAAATTTGAAAATTCAGATTTTTAAAATATTTCAATTCTATTGTTTTTAAAGAAAATAAAAATTTTATGAACAATTAATTTATGAAATTTTAAATAATTGTAATTTTCGAAAATTTTAGTAAAAAACAATCGAGTTTTTTGTATAAATTTTGTTTAAATTTTTAAAAATACACGGTGTGAAAATAAATATTAAATTTTATAAAAGTATTTTAAAGTTGGGGGAAAAATGCGACAAAGGGAATTTTTTATATTCTAATACAACTAACTATGTACCTACATATAATTTTTTTGGAATTTAGTATTTTTTATGTCAAAATTTTTCATTGTTGTATTTTCCCCCTACTTGAAAAATACTTTTAAAAAATTTAGTATTTATTTTTTATTCTTGTAGTTTCAAAAACTTTAATCAAGTTTTTACAAAAAATTGATTTATTTTTTACACAGTTTTAGGAAATTTCAATCATTTTAAAAAATTTTCAATTACTTGAATGTAAAAATTTAAATATTTTTATGGAATTGAAATATTTTAAAAATCTATAATTATTAATATTTCGTGTAATCGAGGGCGGTTCACTACAGTAATTAATTTTATTTTTATAGCCGGTAGACATTTAGAAATATTTAGAAATCTTTGAAGTTTTAAATCATTTTTTCTTCTACAAATGTTTTTTTTTAATTAAACTCCTTTTGAATTTTGTTCTTAATAGCAATCAGGGAAAAAGTCAAAATTCGCTCTGAAAATTATGGAAATGAAAGGGAAATATAAAATAAAGTTTTTGTGGCAAGCCTGTTTTATGATTTCGATTTTTTTTTATTTTATGAGGAAACAGGAAGAATGAAATTTCATAAAACTGAGATTTTCGAGACACGTGTTGCAGTTTGGTTTCAGTTTACTTGCGAACTACTTGTTCAAAGTTAATCTTGGCTGGTTGAGTGAAGGTGTAGTAGCGATTAGAACGTGTGCTGGTGACAGGTGGCGGTATTCGTGAAACTTTGAGAGATCAAGTAGCAGTAGTGTATACCAGTAGCGTGAAACCCGATATTGTGGGTACCTGGGGGTCCTAAGTTAATTTTGTACACACCCCGAGCAATTCAATACACATCGTTGTCTCCTGATACTTGGCGAACGCCAGCTGACATGTTTTCGCTTCAGTAAATATTCTGTTACACAAACACACACTGCACTGCATTCGCTAAGTCGAATATAGTATAAATCACTATAAACAAAAACACATATTTATTTCATATGTAGATTTGATAAAAATCTATATATAAAATCTATATTTAAGAGAAATTCACTTTCAAGCGATATGAAGAAATTTTTTTTTTTCCTCTTTACGGTAAAAATAATTTTATATACTAGAAATCGTTATATCGGTTTAATCTTAATGCTCTTTTTGCGTTTGCTACGAAGAAGACCAATTTGTCGGGGATCATATATAATTTATCCGCTCGTAAAATAGAGCAGTCCTTTCTTTCGACTTGCTTGGAATCCAAGCTTTGAAGTTTAACCGTTGAGTTTTTTCCCAATCCTCACGATCGGATTCTAGAGAGACTGTCCTTGTAAACTATTGGCAAAAAATCTAGCAGCGAAAATAATCTTGGAAATACT